ACAGCTTGCAAGCAGAAGGGAAGATTATTCTTTTCTTTGAGAGCTGCTGTTTGAAAATGTTGTGTTACTTTCAACTAAAAACAAAATCTGTTGATATCACTTCTAATAAATAGATGACTGTTAGCTAATTCAATTAACAGATTACTTTGCCTCCCACAGTGAAATTCAGCCTCTTACAGTGCGGGTCTTATAAGGCTCAGCATGCAGTTTAGGCATTGCCAAAGATTTAACACGAAACCCAAGTGATGCATAAGCCTTGCTAAAGAGGCTGAAGGCCAGAGCCTTCATAATGCCCTGACACTTCCAAAAAGATTCACAGCATTTGAGGTGTGTTTATAGACTTATGGGTCTGCCTGGAAGCACAGGGCAGTGCTGGTTCATGCGAGGTGTCTGCCTCGTTCATATGCATCATCAGGAAAATCATGCCTACATGTAAAATGTAAAAAAAAAAAATAAGAAAATGCACAGCATTAATTCTTAGAAAAGGAGTGCAGTTGCTGGTTTGCTTTCTAATTTTCTATATCAGGAATGAATGTATAGTAACTAAACTGACTGGAAAATATGTTTGGTAGTAAATACATTAGCTAAGATCTCAAAAATAAAAAATTGTCATTTTTCAAGCACTGATGTGGTTTTGTGTAGGTATATGATTGTCTGTTAGTACTTATTGGAGAAGAAAAATCAAAACTGGCCTCTGATAGGTATTAGGTATCATTCCAAAATCTTGCAATATAGCATTTTTTTTTTCTACCTACATAAGAGGTATTTAACTTTTTACAAAGTTGTGGCTAAACTCTGTAGGATGCTTTAAAGTTCAGGGAACCTAACAGATGCCCCATTGTAACCTGCTGCATGCTATCCACACCCAGAAAATTACAATTAATACCCAGTACTCCCAAAAAAAGAAAAAAAAAAAAAGAAAAGAAAAGTCACAGGGATTAAATGCCAGACTTGTTGCTTTTTTTGGTGGTTGTTGGTACTATCATATATGCTAAGGGCATTCCAACCAAGGGCATGTGGCCATAATGGAATTTGATGTACAATCAGTTTTAGGGAACAGCCTGTGCCTTGTTAATACAATCCATAAAAGGCTTCCAAACGTCCTGAAACCAGTCCCTCTGTTTCCAAGTCTGCATATGATCTCATAGGAAATGATCTGGGAGAGGCTGGCTAACCCTTTTGCATAATCAAGGTATCATTGTTCTTTTAATGCTTAAAGTGACTTGTTTCGCTTATGTAAGCTTAGCGATCTACTTCTCTGTCGCCAAATCCCTGTTTATCAGGTTTCCCAATGATTTCAGTGCCATTAAAGAGTAAGTGAGGAGACTGAAGTGTGACTTAAAGATTGGCCTTGGTAATGTCATTCATTTGCTTTATCACCCCTTTTTGTCTTAACTATTTTAAAAATCCTAAATCACTTGCTGCCTGGCGAAATTTGAAAGATAGAAATGCAAATATATAACATGAGTGGGCAAAGTTTATTTTGCAGTGGGCTCAGAGGCATGTAGACAATCTCTGCCTTGCCGTGTTTCATAAATGGCAGTAGCAGCAAGACAGATAGTGAGGAAAATACCTGCCTTGCGTATAGATTCGGTATTGTAAAACCTCTCATATGTACATTAGCAGTAGATATGGAAAGTGTGTTCTTGTATTGGAGCCCTTTAAAATCTCCACTTTCTAGGATGTTTACCCAAACGCAGAGTGCCTCACACAGTGCACGTTCTTTTATAGGCTCGGGATACCCAGGATTTCCTTAATATATTGAGCCCAAGAAGGGAAACACTCCAATGAGTTTCTATCTCTGAAAGCCTTGTATGGGCAGCTGGTGTCGACCTTCATTGGCAGGGGAAAGAGAAGAAAAGTATTTGGGTTTTGTAACTGTGCAGAAGTACAAGTATGGTTAGTTCACGCGAATAGGTAGTAACTGCACCACACTGAAATTGCAGTGAGTCTAAGCAGAGGGCTCTGTGGCACCCTGCTTACTGCAGAGTTGTTAAGTTTGGCACTCTGTGCTGGGCTCCAGTCAAACATTTTCTTAACCATATTAGGTTATATGGAAGTTGGCCAACTAGCAATAGGCTTTTGATGTACTTATTGTTTGCGCTCATATTTTATGGAGTAGACAGCCACCGCTTTTCTTAAGAACTAGCAGGTTTAATCAAGTAAGACCAATATGACCCTGTAAAAATTGTCATTAAAGTTTGGTAGCAAAAAAAAGAAAAAAAAAAGAGATCATTTCCCAAGACGAACCCAAAATTTACAGTGTTATAATGCAAGTTTGTGGTTCCCTTGTGTTTTTCACCTGTAGATCTCAATCACTCTGTAAATCAGATCCCAGTAAAAGCCCAGTAATTAAATATTATGCTGTTATTCAGGTGAAAAACAGGAGTGCAGTGAACCTGACTGACTAAGGCACAGGCCTACCCGTTCCCTTTGGCAGACTCATCCCCAGCAGAGGGGCAGGGTGAACAAATGCATCCGTGACTCTCTAAACTGTTGCAACAAGGCTTGCTTGAGTTTGGCAGTTGGAGCCTTTTGTGTCCTGATGGACTTGTCAGCAAGGTCCACTTATGTGCCTGTCTTGTTTCCTGGAGAAAACAAAGAGGAG